ACTACGTATACGCTTAGAACTATCGTAAAACCTCTCGGTTGTGGAAGTATAAAGTAAAAATGCTTTCGACGCGACTTGAAGACATGCCTTTGCMAGKGAMGGTGACAGGACAAGRCGAATACTTGATTGAAGTTCAGTTTTAGTGCAGCGTTCGTAACGATGAGAAAGTCGTTCAGCTTCGTAAACGATACGTAAGAACGGTCTTTGAATAAGACTACAGACTCTTTCTACAGTTTGTGGAGATACGGAGCGACAGTACTGACGCGCGCGTCCAAGACGTAGGACTCTGGATACGTCGTTCAATGACCATGGAGCATCTGAAAGTTGWGGCAGCATTGGAAGCCACGAGTCAAAACTTTCGGCKGTTTTATCCACGACATTAGTGKGWCTTTGAACGTTTGAAATAATGTCAGACATCTTTCATCACACGTTGTTTCTTAATAACTATAGTTAGTAATCCTAATTAGCTAATCTAGCTATTGATGAATATAACAATTGGAGACGCAAAGGTTAAAAATGTCGAAGAATTAGAACAAACTAGACATTCCTATTATTACTTAAAGCAAATATAGTCTGCTAATGATTGGCAGTTTATTCTGATTACAATACACTGTAAATATACTGTTGACTCAAAAATACAAAAAACCTTAATAAGATTTTATGGATGAGTGAATTTCTTTGTACCAAAGTAAAAAAGTCTGTAGTAAACAGGTCTTGAGCTGGTGATCCAATTTTCGGCTTTTGTTGCTGCAAAATTACAGGATAAACGAAAAGAAGGCCACGTAGCGAAGGAAACAAAACATTGTTGGACTTGTAGAAATATGCTATTGTTTGCAGTGTAACAGCCTCGTTGTTAACGTAAATAATATTTTAAAAAATAAACTTAGGAATTAAAGTTTTCTTGAACAGTTTTTTGCGCTCTAAGCAAAGAAAAACAACAACAAAAACTCGCAAAGGGCACAAGAAAATTTTAAAGTGTCTCCGAGAAATCATTTAGGTTGTCAAGGTGTCATTAGACTATAATTAACCTTTTGCATGTTATGACAAATAGCCGACATCCTTCATTCTTAGCGCAAAGGATCATGGTCTTACACTGGTCATGGTCAATACACTTTTGTGTCCGCCATTTTGTTTAAATTTAGTGTTAAACTTATTCCACATTTAAAGTAAATTTCCCCACGATAAAACACGCTTTTCGTGATTTCACAACCTAACGAAACATAACGACTAAATTGATATACCATATACCACATAATCGGCCATTTAGCCTTGCCATAGAGCGGATTTCGTATGAGTGGGAGACGGACGGTACTGTACTGTGTCCGTAATCGTACTGTAACCAAATTCTGCCCCATTGTTTCACCAAAATTCTGCAGGCCAGGTCCACTCAGAGTCTGACTCATACGAAATCCGCTCTATACGCGTAGACCGGGACGCATAGAGGGGCAGTGTCTGTCATGGACATCAACCAAGAGACATAATGCCATACGTTATACTGTGCGTTTTTTTTCTCAACATCGGTGTCAGGTTCCCAGTACTTGCAGTAGGTGTTAACCGTCCTGATGTTAGAGACGTTGGCGAGTGATATGTTTGACCTGTTCATTCTTGTGTAGTTTATCTTCTCGCTGTCTGTATATCGTAAAATAATACAAATAATGACTGTTCACAACCCGTGAAATAGATATTACACTGATAGAAATCGCTCTAAGTTGGTTGTTTTCGTGGTGTCTTCATAACTATTCGTAAAACAGTAGAACACGGCTTTTTACTTTAAAATGGTAATTATTACTCAAACTGGTAGCTTGTCTGATCGAATTGACATCTTGCACGACATCCCTAATTTCATTTGACTAGTCATATTCTATGGAAACCAACGCATCTCTAATTAATGTCTTATGATCAGCAATGGATACAGGTGTGTGTTAAACAATCTCTTCACGACAAAGGGATTAAAAATAGAAAGAACTGAAACTACTTTTGAGGAAACATTCACGAAGGAGAATTTGTCAAATCGATGTTGATTTCTAGATGAATKCGTGCAAATAAACAACTCGAGTGCATGTCAACATTGTACTTCTTTTTTRAAGCATTATGTGAAAATAGAACAAAGAAAGTGACAGTGAAAAACTAAAAGGAAGAGAGAGAAACTATAAAGATTCAGAAACGGAAATTTAAAATATTTATATGCAGTTCAGATTTGTAATAGATAAACATAAGAATTATCATTTTYTAGTGCAMTTGAGAATGAGTTTYMTTCACGAGTTCACTGTGTTTTGATRTGTAAGRRAACSTAAAATATTCAGTCACTTTGCATGAGACGAATTAATGAATTTTAAAATCTTCATTTATATGTAAAACTATWAATAACTATATGCGACGTCATGAATATTTTATTAAACAGCCATCCTTGAAATACAGAATGATTTAGTATTTATAGACGCTAATATTGCGGATTCAGACTAAACCCTCACTTAAACTATGAACGAAGCCTTATAAGGCTTTTATTTTATAAATAAAATTATTAAAAATGTAAAATAGTAAAAGAAACTGACTTTCACATGAACCCCGAACAAAGAAATGAAAATTTCTTGGATGTTTATTTTTTCTTCTCGTCATTACATCATTTTCATTGATTCTCTACAGGCGAATTTAGAAATGTTTTTCCTGTATGATAAATACAAGATCATACAAAATTAATCCCACATATCGCGCACTAGTTGTTGATGTTAAAGTTTGCCTCATTTTTTCTCTTTTTTTCGCACCTTGTCTACTGACCTCTGTCAACTGAACGCACATCAACAAAAAGTTATGGAAAACATCTCATCAATGCTACGAGACAATTTAGCCTTTTTTATACCTCAGATGTCTCTGCTAGACTTGTGCATTAGAGTCCCACAGCGATCTTAGTTTTACTTGATCAATATTAGTTCTCAAGTCATGGTAATATACTTCTTTGACACCTTAATGATATTCAAATAAAAAACCCTTTGTGGTCTTTGATTGGGGCATCCTAAAGTTTTTTTAAATAGCTCTGCATGGGGAATTTGGCTAAGCTCAATGTTAAGACAGTTCTGCTTTGACATACGGAGTTCAAACATGAGATTCTTCAACCAACGTATTTCATTCTGTAAATTTTCAATTATATTTTTCTTTGGATCTGTCGTGGTATATTTCGTCTTCACTATCGAGGARCTGGACAASAAAKTCAAAGATWCCCACGAAAKCGTGWCGCAAATAATCACAAAAACTCCACTTGTGGAKCGGAAGATACAAAATCGAAATGTAGCACCACGAAAATCGCATAATAATCCAAGGATTTCAACTTKGCAAGAATCATCAAAGAAATCTCCAAAATTACTACAAAAGRAGAAAAAATATGATGCTTTATTAATGCCCTATAAAGACCCAYTGACAGTCGATCCTTTTAAAGATTTAATGGCATCCTATTTACAATTGGAAGAAATGGATTATGAAGCTAAGGGTGACTTYCCCTGCAGYGCRTCCCTCGCTATYGACTCCTGCCTCATTCACAGAAAGACTGTACGCGAATTTCAAATCATTTGCGACCGCATTGGATCATAYTGTAAAGGMTTTGTGGTCACAAGAGGAAGAATTGGGGAACTAATTGCATATTTCAAGCGTGAAATACGACTTCTGAAGTTCAATAATAAAACAATTACTTTCGTKAAGAAAGATTTTGCAGACAAAGTTCGCTTCCCGTGGAACAATGAAAAGGTTCCTGGGAAATGAAAATAAATAAAGTAATATAAACATAAAAAGCATAGAAAACAGATCAAATAGATGGTTGGTCTATTTATAATGATATAAAAGTTACTTCAACCTAAAAGTTTATTTACTTATTCGAGCTTTCGGCTCACCGAGCCATTATCAAGACTTATGTAAAAACGTTACGTTTCAATTTTTAGGTTGAAGTAGCCTTTCAATCATTAAGCATAGAAAACCTTTGCAGATTGCGTTCTGAAATAGTTTAGTTTAATTGATATAAATGTTCAAACCGACACTAATAGTCTAGTGACATTAAATCAGTTGTTTGCTAAATAAGCACTTTAGTCTAAACTGGATTAACAAACATTCAAAGTTTCTTGAGGATTCATAAATTATAATGCAAACTTAATCACAAACGTAAGGGAAATCATTTAACCATTAAATTTTTAYAATTTTTAAYTTGTRMATCRAAATGAAGTTTGAATAAAGTTCAGTATGGTTTCTTTTTTTYMAAAAAAAAAAAWAWRTAAAAAAWCATTGACGATTCGAAAAATCTAGACCAATATGAAAGAACTGTATAATTTTTTTGGAACTAGTTGTAAAAGAAAAATAAATCCATAAGATGAACAAGACAAAATAATAATTGAACAAGATTATATTACTCAGACTTGGAATAATTATTTATAATTTTAATACTCATTTTGGCAAGCAGGTGCAAATCGTTTGGATCTCATCCATCTCGTTCAGAATGAGAAAGATTGCCAAGATTATAACAGTTACATAGTTTAGAATTTCTTTGTACGCAGGCATAGTTACATAGTTGTTTAATCTTCTTTTCGTTATTTATATTTTTCATCAACAAGCACACGGTAATCTACTCTAAGCATTTTAATATTTTGCCAAGAAACTAAGTATATTGTTTTAGTTACGTAATTTGAAATTAAGTCCTCTAAAAATATTGTTCATTGAATATTTCAAAACACGATTATTCATTTTCAATAGAAGTTCAACTTACTTTAATTTACATCAAGCTATCATGACAATATTTTGGGGGGCGGTTTTTCAAATATAAACAACTCCTACAGTTTATTAGAATAGTGTCGTAGCGAGACGATCTTTGAGCGTGCAATGATAGAAACCTTCTTTCACACCTACAGACAATTATTCTCAGGTATCTACCATTGCACGCTCAACGGTTGTCTCGCTTCGATGCAAAGAAACGGTACCTTTCAAGATGGCGCAGTTAACCGTGAAGGAGACTTATCTGTACAAATTTTACAAACGGCACCAGAAACAGCAAAGTTACAGTCTCTAAATGGTTTTACTGTCTTATTTTTATGAGCAACTTCAGTGTTCCTGGAAAATAATTCCTAATAAAGAAAATAATTTCCAAATATGGAAATCCATTTCCAAACACAGCAACCATGGCAACTAATTGAGTTCAAAACATGCCAGATCCTTATTGCAAACATGCCCGACCTCGATTACTAGCATTCCAGAACTTATTTTCAAATATAGATAGAGATAGCCAACCCCAATCCCCTTCGAGAGAGCCTGATACTCAGGCTAAGATAGAGACTGATGTTCGATCATTGAGACTGTTTCCAAATACGGAAACCGATGTCCAAATATGGAAACTAATGTCCATATAAGGTAATTGTTAATYCCTTATAAGGATCGCTATACAGCAGATACTCTCATAAGCCGTACTGAYGAAACGTCTTCAGGGATCTCACATTTCTCATGARTRTTCAGCGTTCTATCAGGTTCATCAAAMCCKAGYTCTTTCCTTACTTGAGCTTCATCAGTGACAACCTCCGACTCTATAATAATACCTTGYACAGGSGCCCCATCCACTACTACTGTCTCAACCACGAATTCCTCTCTKCCATAAAACCAGATCAAAGCACCAAAAGTAATRAAAACAGCGATGGATGGAACAAATGCAATACTTTTCACAGCCAAACTAAAACCTAARTACTTGGAGTTCATTTTTTGGTCYAAAGATGCCAGAGTTTCGTTTGTCGAGGGTATAAAATGATTTTGACGCCATTTTTGAGAGACCATCGTTTTGTTAGCTTTCGCCAGAAACTCTTTATCTAATATTGAATATATGTGCCCTTCAGGACCTGTGTATTGCCCAAACGTGTAAGGAGAGTAGAAGATTTGGTTCTTCCACATATTTAAATCAAGGATTATGACAAGCATGATWATACCATAGTTAAACCATTTACCAGTAATGTGAACAGCCCAGTTTTCTTTCTTTAAGAACCGAGGCAAGGTGAAGTTGATGGAAACAACGTTAACACCAGGTAACTTGACGTCRAGTGAGCCTCGGAAGAGAGGAAACTCCCAGTCCTGAAAAGACAGGAATGACAATGAGAAGTTGAAATACAGCAAGAAATGAACAACRACCACTAAGAAATAYTAAGACCATCTTTCCATACCTGCATAACAATGGCAAGATCACAGATTAAAATGAACGATGCCAAAAATGCTCTYGACAACTCGTTAGTAGTAACAAAATCCCTGTTAAGTTTGTCCCAGTTAATATAATCAGTGGTTATGGCAGTGGCGACAATCACTGTAGTGACCACAAGCACAGACCAGAACATGATTATGCGATTCCATCCGGTCTGCCACCATTTGCGCAGCCTCTTGTTCCAATGAGGATACAGTTTGTCCTGAGAGAAACAAAAAACAAACAAAAAATAAATAAATAAATAAAAAAAAATTAATAACAAGTGAATTGAATATTCAACATTAACACATATTATCTATGAAATTTTTAATATTGAGGAAGGAACAAGAGTAGTGTCACATTTTCTTGGATTATACTATTTAAACACAGGAACCTCAAAAGTGCTTGCTCTTTTRAATGTGGTCAGCAATTTGATATTCTCTAACATCTTTGGAGAACCATTTTACCATATGAAACAGTGTTGCATCTTTTAGAGGTTATACMATCAGCATGGTTCTCAAAAGTGGTGCCTCTTTCAAGCGTGGGCAAAATTGTTGTTAGGTTTAGGGTAATAGGTGGCTATAATGGTGTACATGCACCTGTAACATCATATCGGTAACCATCCATGCCGTCACAAAGTCTCCCATCCAAGTACCCATCCCAGCAGCCTTCATGAAGGTCTTGTTTACAATGTGGAGGTGATTTGTAACAACATAAGCCTGTAGTGGTCCACCGCCGAGACCAATAAATGCATTGAAGATGATTGAGAAGATGAAAAGAAGAATGATTGTTGTTAGGAACATCACCATCCATGATCCTTTGTCCTCTTGGAACATGCTTAGTCTTAGTAATCTGTAAACAGAATGGCAGGATTAGGGTAATGTTGGTTGACTTAGTGTATTGATAACATCATGATATGATGATGGAAAACAAATAAATAGTATAAATAAACAAATTAATCATCAAATCAAACAAATATCAAATCATTCAATCAACCAACCAACCTACCAATCAATCAACACATCAATCAATCATCACATCAATCAATCAATCATCAAATCAATCAATCAACACATCAATCAATCAATCAATCATCAAATCATTCAATCAATCAATCAATCATCAAATCATTCATCAAATCATTCAATCAATCATCAAATCATTCATCAAATCATTCAATCAATCAATCAAATCATTCAATCAATCAATCAATCATCAAATCAATCAATCAATCATCAAATCAATCAATCATAAAATCATTCAATCAATCAATCAATCAAATCAATCAATCATCAAATCAATCAACCAACCAACCAATCAATCAACACATCAATCAATCATCACATCAATCAATCAATCAATCAATCAAATCATTCAATCAATCAATCAATCATCAAATCATTCATCAAATCATTCAATCAATCATTAAATCAATCATTCAATCAATCAATCAATCAATCAACCAAACAAAAATTTGCCCACCTCTCCCTTGGTAGGTCAAGGTATCATTAAAATCAATCCACAGGAAGGTGCCATAGAGTGTATCTAACCAGATAATAGTGAATTTTGCAATACTTACTTTTTCAAGAGTAATTTATGAACTAGAAATTTCCCAATCAACATTCCAGCTATCACCCCAAATAACCACATAAAGATTTTGAGGGCAGCCCAGCCTCCATATTTAGGATACCTGTGCAATATAAATAAATAATGAATGACAGAGCAAATAAATAAAAAACGAATGAATGGATTGATAAATGTTATAATCWCTGAAGACAAAACATCAAGAAATGACCTGGAGTGACAGTAAATTAGTTTTATTAAAAAAATTGTTTTAACACTGTTAAATAAAATATTGAGCATTCTTTGGTGAGTCAAAACACTTTATAAGTTGATTTGTGAATGACTACGAGATAGATTGATGATCGATAATAYCAAATGAATGAAAAATTCTCAAACATAGACACCTCTATTCACTCAAATATCTGTTATGTCCAGACATAAAATTCTTGGACTAACACAAATGAAAAACACATACTTGTTAACAACAAAGGAGAACACGTTTCCTAGAACTGGCAGAGTACATGGGGAAAGACTATGAGAGACAGGGTCCTCGGCATAGATGAGAAAATTGCAGAATATAACAAAGTAAGCGATGAAGATCCTGAAATAGGGGTGCTGGAAGTAGTAGCGGCTATTTTTCTTCTGAATTTTCACTTTCTTAAGAGTTGGGTGTTCGGGCTGTTGTCTGATCTGTTAAAATAAACAAAAGGGTGATTTAAAGGGATTGTTTTGGAAGAAAAAAGTTTGTTATGCAGAAAGACGCCAGTGTAAGCTTTTGTTATATTATTCGGCATATTCAAATCGTACTGAAATAGTTGAAACTAAGTATATCTTAAAACTTTTAGATCTTTTCGCTGCATTCTTTTATATTCAATCAAGTTCTAATAATAATACTTTTACTATACACTAAAACAGCATAATTTTAAGACTATGCCATGCTTGGTTATAACAAGGCCTGCTTACAAACAAGCGATCATTTCAAGCCACTTTATGTTATCCATCCAAGATAGAAAGTTTTAACGTTTTAAAAAAGCTTTATCGATGCTTTATAAAACACTGGAACAAATATAATACGAGTTTGAATACAAGACTAAACAATGCCTTACTTTAAAAGCTTCCTCAGTAGTTGTTTTGTCTTTTTGTTCGCGAGTTCCTTGATCAATTTCATCGAGATCTCGATTGTGTTCAATGGTGGGCGAATCCATGCYTCTTCGAGGAACAGCGCCCGGGAGTTCGCTTGAATCAACTGATTCAACCTTTTCCACACTACCTTTTGATTCAGTAGTCTGGGTTTTGTTTATCATCGAAAAATTGTGGGTGGCAGAAATGATGTTTCRACCGAAGAAACTTCGCAGTAGGGAGTATTCAAAAATGGGGTCCCTGTGGTATCAGGGACCCCAYATGTTAAGTCCAAAACAACAAGTCAGTTTTTCTACATCTTTTATTGTTACTGGTACATTAAAACCTTACAAATCAAAGTTCTAGGTTTGTATTTGTGGCACTACACTGTGTAAGCCACTATTGATTGATGTCAAGTTATTACGCCATTGCACAAGCCGATCATGTAAGCTTTCCCACTGTTTGGAATCGAATGTCCTTGGAGACACAGAACTACAAAATGAAAATATAAAAATTCATTCAATACAAAAACATTAACAAAAACATAGCAATAATTCATAAGCTACAAAATTGAATTTAGAGTCATCTGAACTCGACTTTACTTCAAAACAGGTGAAAAGTGTTCAACATTACAACAGAAAACCTCAAAAATTTCCACAATTAATACTATATTCCCAAATGGCCTAAAGTTTAGGTCTTTTATGACATTTTCCCACTACATATAGCTGTATACATACCTGATTATGACTTTCTTATTCATCTGATCGAGTCTTGCTTTTATCAGCGTTGTCTGAACAGCTAAAAATATAAAATAGCAAAGTAAATATACATTGTGAGCTTTGGTGCGCAGTTGCACACCAAACAAGAGGCTCACATACCTTCAATGATGAACTCTTCAATGTCGTCTACATCAAGATCAAGTTGTTGTGCAAGCTCGTCAAACGATACTTCATGCTTGCTGATGCCGATGTTCATAATAGTCAGAATACGCATCTTCTTAAGGTTGCTCTCATGTGAAAGACCTGTTAATTAATTACAAAAATTATTGAAAAATGAAATATGATAAACTTAATGAAACAATTTATTAGTGATAAATTGAAAGTTTCAAGTCAGCAGCCAGTGAAATCATTGCCTGCTTCTTACCTAATGAATTGACAARTTCTGTGTTGCTTTTGTAAAACTGGATGTAATCTTGAACGTTTCCAGAAACAAATATTTCTAAAAGCTACACGCCCAACAAAAAAAAAACAACACATAAATTGAAATGGGATATGAATGGAAAGTGAAAAAATAAAATAAAAGTAAAAGTGAGAAGAGGAGAGAAGATCATTGAACAAGGACATAAGTAATTGGACGCAAAATTGGAATTCAAACATAGCTTTATGTAAAACCTTTYTGAGTACAAGTAAAAATCAGCTACATGTACTTACCGTATAAAYTGGCTCGCCTTTCAGTGTTCTAACAGGCCGCAATGCAATAATATTATCCATRATGAGAACACTAGGTTTAGCAATACAGTTTGTAATGCAGCTCTTGGCATCTTCTTTAGCTTGAGATGCATTTTCTTCCGTGTATGTGCTGAGTAGCTCTATCATCACATTGGACGCATCCTCACTAGAAGAAAGAGCATCATTKRAMMWTT